TTTACCGTCCAACCAGTTTCTTCAAACACACAAGTTGAATGTTTCTCCAAGGAAAACCCAAACAGTGATAGCTTTTGTAGGTGCTCCAGGCAACATTTTGACTAATCTGTGTTACCAGCTATCTGCATATGAATGCTGATAAATTAAAAAGTCTGGTTTGGTCAATGTGTTCCGCCTCCCTTGCTCTTTATGTGGACTGTTTACCGCAGGGGAACCAAAGCCTGCTGACCTGATTGGTCAAACCCGAAACGGAAACCAGAAGGCCCCAAAATCTTACACCTCATCTACAGATTCTGCATATATACTGTTTTTATATACATCTGACCATCATGCCGGACCGAACCTGTGAGATTACTGTGATAATAAACTCTGACTAAACAAACAAAAATGTGCTTCACCACCTCTAATCTGTGAAACCATAACGCTGAGAAAACAAGAGGAAACTATTAGCTGTTTGGTCAGGGAGCGTTCAGTAACAGCTGAGGAGTTAACAGTGAGCAAACAACTTGTGTGTGTGTGTCTGTGTGTGTGTGGACAATAACCAGCCTGCAGACCCTTCTCTCTCTCTCTCTCTCTCTCTCTCTCTCTCTCTCTCTCTCTCCACAAACCACGATAAGAAGTCACAAAAAGGCCTCCGCCCCCACACGTCAAGTGCAAAGGGTTGTATCCGCTGAAGGCCCACTCAGGGTGTCACCATGAGGGGTTCGCAGGTGCAAAGATATTTGCCTGATATGGAGAGAAGTCTAATGTGTTTGACCTTTGAACTCATTTTACATGTGGAGGTACCCACCCAGGGAATATTATACTAAGGGTGGCTCGAGGTTATCTTAATGCACGTCTGCCGGAGTTGGACTTAATGGTTCCTCTGAGTTCTTTATCAGGAACTGTGTTGATCTAAGACTATTACGTTGGTTTACAGTTTATGGGACTCGTCATCTTTTTCTTATTAGTCACTGCGGTGTAATGTTGAAACTGTGTTATGCTTCACATGGGGAGGCAGTGACCAAAAAGATTAATAACAACTTGTGACTGTGAATAAAACAAGACTCAAGCCCCGAAGAGCAGCAGCTGAAAATGCTTAAGAGCATTTGGCTGCTCAGGTCATTATTTAATTCAAGTATTTTCCAATTGAAAAACAGAGAGCTAAATTATGGCTGGAGTCATAAAACCTGTCCTCCTTTTTAATACAAATATTGTCCTTCATTATCTTACTGAGGGAAAAGTGACATTTCACTTCCATTCAAAAGCTGACTCACTTTTTATGTGTTGTACTTACTGAGAGTATATTTCAGCTGAGGTAAGATCAGTGAAGCGAAGTGGTGTATTGTATTGATAATGAGTTGTCAATAAAAAGGGCAGCTATGATTCAGGGGGTAGAGTGGGTTGGCCACTAAGCAGAAGGTTGGTGGTTTGATCTCCAGCTACACAAATGTCCTTGAACAAGACACCGAAGCCCAGAGTGCCACTGGCGGCTATACCGGCGGTGTGTGATAGTGTGTGAATGGGTGAATGTGACTTGTACTGTGAAGCGCTTTGAGGAGTTGATAACACTCAAAGGTCAATTAAAAACACAGTTCATTTAGCATAAATGAACAATAGGTGTGCATGTGAGTTTGAATGGTTGTTTGTCTGTGTATGTTCAGCCCTGTGATAGTCTGGTACCCTACCTCTCACCCAATGAGATTGGTTCAAGCCTCCACGCGACCCTCAAAGGATAAACGGCATAGATAATAATGATGGATAGATGGAAACTTTGAGATCTCTACTAGAATTTAAAATCAAGTTGTATGGGTTGGTAATAATCGTTGTGAAAATACATTTACTTTCTCCCGAAATATAAAAATTGTCTTCAATAAAGCGAATCACTCACAGCTTCCTAATAGCCGACTGCTTCAGGGGCCTGTTCTAAAAGAAAAGATTACGATTAGCCAAAAATTCAGGGGTCACCTTAACACTCAAATCAGTGGACTTGGTTTATTGGTGCATACTGCCAAAAACAAATCTGCAATTAATCAAACCACAGGGTAAGTGATCCTAGGGCCTCAGGGGGTCTGACTTCCTGTTAATAATTGATCTTAAGTCGAGGCTAATGTTGGGCTGAGTGAAATAGTAAAATGGGCTGCGTTTGTGTTGCACTTTTATCCAAAGTGCTTCAGTACTTGCCTCAAACTGACCCATTCACACACATGCTGCAGCAAGCTGTCGAACAAGGTGTCGGCCGAACCATCGAGAGAAATTTGTTGATCAGAGTTTTAAACTTCATCATGTGAACAAACCGTCCTGTACCTGCTCAGCCTCAGTTGGCAAGAACTTCACTGGCTTGTGTGGAGTGAAGGGGTATGATGGGTAGGCAAAGAAGAAACCATGTATGTGAACTTCAAATGCAGCTTTCTCAATTTTATATTTCTGAAAAGGGGACAGCCTGTGGCCTGGAAGCATTATGGTTTCAGATTCTCTCCGTCCCATTGATGTGAACACGATATCTCAAAGACGATTTAAGGGAATTTCTTAACATTTGGTGCAAACGCTCAGTTTAACTCAAGGATGAACTGATGAGATTTTGATTGTCAAAAGTCAAGTTTTTTAACCTTGTGAAGGCAATATATCAGGAACACCTCCAGGGAATCTTTTCAAATTTAGTAAAAATGTTCCGTTGGACTCAAGGATGAACTGAGAAGAATTTGGTGGTCAAAGGACAAGATCACTGTGACCTCATGGTCTTGTGAATGTGATGTTTCAAGATCACCCATAGGGAATTTCATTTCATTAGGCACAAACATTCACTTGGACTCAAGGATGACCTGATTATAATTTGGAGGTCAAAGGTAAAAGTCACGGGGGTCATGTTATTCCTTGTTATCAAGAACACCTCCAGAGAATAATTTCAAATTTGGCACAAATGTTCACTTAGATCCACAGATAATCAATTTGATTTTGGAATTTAAAGGTCGAAGATCCCGGTGGCCTCCAAAATCATGTTTTTGGCCTTTTGAGCACGATTTCTCAAATGTGCCCTAAAAGAATTTTGGTCAACTTTTAGCTTGTAACCCCTGTATAGTGGTTCTCTATATATGAAAACATAATTGAGAATGAACTCTGGCCCTGATATTTGCGCTCAGACCTCTCACACTTTCTAACAACTGGGCCGTTCACCTGAAGCAACATTTTTTAAATAAACGCAGTGTCTTGGAATGAAACCCTCCTCGATTTCTGATATTATCTTTAACTTTGTGATAGCGCGTCAGCTGTTGTGGTATCCCTTCAATCTCTGATAACAACATGTTCTATTCTGAGAATATTGGGAAGGGTTGACTTTGGAGGGAGTGTGTGTGTGTGTGTGT